TCTAGAAGACACAAAATTTTATATTCCGCACCTTAAAAATCATTTATTTCCCCCCCCGGTTCTTTCTTTTCTTTCGTAAGTAATAAAAATGGATGTTTTGTGCGATAAAACTGAATCTAATACGTAAAATACAAAAGTTTCTCATCGGGAAAAAAAGCTATTTGTCACTTAAATCAGGAAGGAACAAGAAATATCTTAATGGGTACGTTCACTTCAAAAGGTCTATTTGGGAAGAGCCTTAAGGAATTCGAATAAAACGCTAAAATATTATAGGCATTAATCTTCCTTTTTTGGCGGAACTACTAATACTATTGCTACTACTACTTCGACTATTTAGACTGGAGCTATTTTAAGCACTTGGGATCGGGACACTTTTGAGTGAGTTCGTCTCGGCGAAATATCTCCTCAATTGTTCTCAAATAGTTAAGACATATAAATATAGATAGATCTGAAGAGGAGAAGATAGATAGATAGATAGATAGATAGATAGATAGATAGATAGATAGATAGATAGATGAAATACTGTGATAAACAGATTAAGAAGAATGAATATTGTGATAGATAGATAGATATAAAATCTTGAGATAAACAGACGAATAAATACTGTGATATTTTGGCATATAGATATGAAGATAGACATGAAGAGAAAACGATAGATAGATAAATAAATAGATTGAGAGACAGATATAAAATACTGTGGTAATCAGACTAAAAACAATGGCTATTGTGATAGATATATAAAGAGATTGAGATAGGTAGATGTATGGGTAGAATGATATGAAGATTAATTATATATATATATATATATATATGTATATATATTAATCTTGATGTCATTCATATTTTTTATAATATATATATATATATATATATATATATATATTTATATATATAATTATTTATTTCAAGCGAAAAAAAATTCGCTTGAAGATGGAACAGAGCTTAGTACTTTAATTCAAATAATTATATTGAAGTTTTCGGCTCTTGTTTTGAAACATGAGAACTCTTATGTAGCGTTGGAATCATATTTTTAAATAAATAATTATATTTATGCTCTACTTTTGTATCGAGCACTATTTTTAAAAAATAATAAAAAAATACTAAAGAACTTTGGATTATTTACCTAACGAGTTCTTTCCTATTTTCTATATATTTTACACACACACACACACACACACACACACACACACACACACACACATATATATATATATATATATATATATATATATATACATGAATGAGATAACGATATTTTTATATATAAATAACAGTATTGAGGAAATTGTATGACAAAGTTTTTTTTTTTTTTTTTTTAAAGCATTTCACCCCGAGCAAGGCGGGAAGCCACTAGGACGCAAGGGGTTACAAAAAATTTCGAGCAAGATCAGATAGGAGTGATAGAAGAAAGAATGAGGGTAGTGGCTAGATCAAGGCAACTGGAGATGTCGATTGACATTACACTTGAATAGCTGGAGATTATAGCTCACAGGGAAACAGGAATAGGGAAGGGAGTTCCACAGGCAAGAGGTGCGAGACATGAAGCTATTGGAGTAGAAGAGACGGCTACATTTAGGAGTTTCGACAGTGAAGGGGTGAGAGCGGGATGCCAGCCTGGTATGGCGCTTGAACTCATGACGTCTGGGAACCAGCGAATGCAGCTCCTCGGAGCAATTTCCATGAAAGTATTTGTAGAACAGACAGAGGGAGGCGACGGCGCGTCTGTGAGAAAGTGACTGTAGACGAGACGCCAGGGCAGGGCCAACTACATTGCATATCCGCCTCTGGAGCCTATCAAGAACCCCGAGGCAAACAGAAGGGGCTCTAGACCATATATGGCAGCAATACTCCATTCAAGTGCGAATTGTTGATTTGTAGATCTGGAGGATCAACTCCGGGGAGAAAAACTTCCTGGCGGAAGTGGAAAAGGTTTACTTGCGACACGTTTTGACCTTCAGGACTTCAACAGACTAACTTTGTTATGTTGGTAGGACTGCACATGCGCACATCCGTTAAATTATTGATCCTCATGATACTGATTTACCTGACCTAGTAGATCAATTAAACAAAGTCGAACACATCATGGAATTTACATATAAAATGGAAGAACACAATTCTTTACCCTTCTTAGATATCAAGTTAACAACAGTTTAAAACTCGATGCCAGCCGGAAATCAACCAACAAAAAAAAAAAACGACCTAACAAATTTCTATTCACATCATAACAATAAAATAAAAAAAAATCATCGGATTCTACTATAGAGCTTTAATAATATGCAGCTCGGATTGTTTACATGAAAAGATAACACTTTCAAACTTTTCGAGTAGCCTAATTATTTTATAGTCAAAGCGAAAAAAATGCCCATAAAGTATCCCAAAACTAAAAAAAGGCTCCTCCTGAGAAACCCAGTGAATCAAAAAAAAAAAAAAAAAAAAAAAAATATTATCCTGCTTATTAACTCGATCCCATCTACAATCGAAAAGAATCTATCTAAACTCAACATAAAATTTGTTATTACTACAACTAAAACAATAAAAGACTTAGTCAATACTATACAAAACAATAAAACCTAATTGTCACAAAATGCATAAGAGTAACAGCAAGGAATCTAAATAAAAGATTATATGAATGCAAAAGGGTCATTTTATATAATAATAAGTCAAATGCGTTGGTTGCCCACCGTAACGAAACTGACCCCAATTTTGACACAAATTTTTTTACTCTGATCAAAGGAGAAAAATAATTCACTACGACGTAAATGTCTAGAGAGTGCCTTGATCGTAAGGTCATCTTCAATAAATTTGGCTCTTACATTTCATCAGTCCTGGTAGATCTTCTAATATCACAGTGTGGAATACCAACTTACAAAAATGATGGAAAGAAAAAGGAAAAGGCTCTAAATTAGGTACCTCCACTAATTCGCGAATAATTCGCAATACCTAAGGTTTAAAATGAATTTTAAAAATTAAAAACTCTTGAAGTTTTCATTTTAGATTTAATTGAAAGCTAAATATTAAATTTACTATTTTTAGTAAGCAAAATACTTTGTAGTGTATTTGAAACAGAAATTATATTGAATGGATTTTTTGGCTAAAAATATCTGATTAGCGGCCTTTTTTAGTTATCTGTCATCGCAATGTAATTTTCTTTCTTAAGAAATCTTCGAAAAATAAAATATACTTTGCTGAAACTTTATTTGAGGAATATTAGCTGATTTAACGTATAATCAATCTGATTTGAAACAAATATTATTTACTTAAAGTTGAAAATAAATGTATGGAATTTTAAGACAAACAGTAGTGGTAATTACGTACTTGCCAATGTTCGTAAATTACTGAACAAGTGCTTCTGAAGGTGTTGATAGTTTTGTTGTTGTTTTACGGAGACTTTATCTGTTAAAACTTAATTGAAAAAAATATGGGTGAACGCTTTTTGTATAATTTTTAAGCACTCAGTAATCTTAAAAATGTCAGAATTATTCTCCATATAATTTTAGAAATATTGATTTTAAATTTACTTTTGTCATCGATCTTATTTTGTGATAATGTAGAGTATGGTCATCCATACTTTCAAAATGGGCACGTTTATACACATAAAAAACTATTTAAAATTATTTTAAAAATCTTGATGCGTGATTATTTGTATTAAGCTTTTCAATTTCCGCTTAGTAAATGTAGTCTTCACTTATAAATTAATAACATAACGAGGTCAAAGTTTTGAAGAATTTTAAGAAGACTTTTGAAACTTTATAAATTATTATAATTAAAAAAAATGAAAAAACAATTCTGGTAAAAATTCCTTATTCATCAATATATATATATATATATATATATATATATATATATATATATATATATATATATATATATAATTTTTTCTTCAGACTATAATGCCCTTAATGTATATTATTTATAGAAACAATTATAAGGTTATCTAATTAAATAATGTCATAGTTTTATTGCAGTTTTTATTTTACGATTCGGAGCAGATTTTCGGGAATTGAGTAATTGTCGGAAAAATGGATGATTTACATTCTCCAAGGAGTTCAGTGTTTAATTAATAAAACAAATTTTGTGGTCAGAATTTAATTTCTAGAAATTTCATGAAATTAAGTAAATGGGGTGGGGTGGGTTGTAATAGATGTAAAAAATATTTTTACCAAGATTTTCTAAATGTAATAATTTTAAAAATAAATTCATTCATTTAGGAATAAGTGCTTAAATTCCGACAACAATTTGATTTTTGCAAGAATTTTCAAATCAATGTGTTATTTTACCGGAAAAAAGTCGTTAAAATTTCCATAGTCAGCTCTGTTACATCGTTGACTTAAAACAACAAAAAAAAAAAAGAAAAAGGTTTTTAACCAAAATTTCGAAGATTTTTTTTAAGGCAGTTCACCCCAAGCAAGGAAGAAGAGCAAAGAGGCGCGTTTGAAGAAAGGACACACGGAGAAGGACAGGGAAAAGACTCAGGGTGTCAGATGTCGATTGACATTACACATGTTAGAAAGGAGTAGAAAATTAAAAGAATACTCTGTTTTTTTTCTCTTAATAATAAACATTTTGACGATAAAGCATTGTTTTTAAGTTTGGGGCCTTTTTTTCGTCATGCTATGCTGATTTTAGCGAAAAAGTGGAGGAGGTACCTACTCTCAATGAATTCGGTTAGATAAAAAATAAGATAAAATAAAATCCCCCCCCTCAGTATCTGCCTATATTTCTGGGTTGACGTATTATGTACACTACATTATTTAGACTATTGTCCTCATCTTTGTTGCCATATTTATCACAGTTCAGTTCGACATTCCAACCATCTGAAGAAGGCCGGAGCGTACAACGGCTGAAACGTTGTGATAAATATGGCAACAAAGATGAGGACAGTAGTCCGAATAATGTAAATAGTGTTCCCAGCACTCCTCTGTCGCATGTACAGTCCTGTCAACATAATAAATTTAGCCCGATTAGGCCCTTAAGGACGTAACGCGTCACAATGAAATATTTTTCCGCTTTATCACACGCATGCACACACACACACGCACGCACACACGCGCGCATATATATATATATATATATATATATATATATATATATAGATAGATAGATAGATAGATAGATAGATAGATAAGAAGGAGAAAACTTAGATAAGAAGCAGAAGACTAGCTTGATAGATAGATAGATATGTTGAGATCTGAACGATTAAGAAAGAAAGAAAGAAAGATTGTGATACAAATATAGTCATAAACAGGCATAGATAGATAGATAGATAGATAGATAAGAAGTAGAAGACTTAGATAGATATATAGATAGATAAGAAGGAGAAGACTATATAGATAGATAGATAGATAGATAGATAGATAGATAAGGAGTAGAAGACTTAGATAGATATATAGATAGATAAGAAGGAGAAGACTATATAGATAGATAGATAGATAGATAGATAGATAGATAGATAGATAGATAAGGAGTAGAAGACTTAGATACATACATAGATAGATAAGAAGGAGAAGACTAGATAGATAGATAGATAGATAAGGAGTAGAATACTTAGATAGATATATAGATAGATAAGACGGAGAAGACTATATAGCTAGATAGATAGATAGATAGATATGAAGAGGAGTAGATAGATCAGATTTTTCAGTGCGCTCACGTCGCTGCCGAATGTGACATGAGGCTGTGGTTTAAAGTTGGTTTAACGGCAAAATTGTCGGAAAACTGCTTAGGCCCCCCACTCGATACTTCCCCGTCCTTGTAACCCCAAAGATGATCTGAAGACGACGTTTATGACAGCATTCATCGTCCAGAAGAGATGCTGGTGATTCCGAAGTCGTCTGAATGTCGTGGTTGGAGGCAATGGGGATTTTATTGAATAATTTTACTCTTTAGTATTTCAAGATATATTTTGTGTAATTTTTGTAAATATATCTGCTAAAATGAGATGTCGGTGTTCTTTTCATGCATGTGTAATTTCAACGACAATTCATCCATCGCACACTTTATTAATGTGAATATATTGACATAGATATGAATACTCTACATGATAGCATTATTAATTATATTAATTTTGAACATTACTTCGTACTAAGATTACAACGGTCGACATTTTCTTCGACCCAAATGTTGTTGGGCAATGGGCATATGTTTCTGAGCTATTTTTTCCAGGCTGAATCTGAAAATCAAGTCCATTTTTTCGTATCACATCACGTTTTCTCGGGTAATTTCTGCTTTTCTTAAAATATAAGCCAAAATACGCATTTAACAGTGACATGCCAGGGACAAGTAGAACCAATCTTAAACGTTTTCAGGTTAGAATAACTTATCATAAAAGAAAAACTATCCCAATAATTTAAAGAATGCATTTTCAGAATTTTCAGTTCAGAAAAAAGTTTTCCGAAAAATCTCACATAAAATTAAATTAAGGCAAACATGTATCATCAATTTTTGAGCCAAAGTAGACAAAGAAGGAATGAAAAATACATTCATTTTTGTTCATCCAAAGATATAAATCTTCTCTTCTTAGAAACTACGGTGCTTTTGAAAAGGTTGATGTCTTTTGATGCCCTAGCAGAAATCAGCCATCATGTTAAGATCCCATCTGACCTGCCTTTTGATGAGTATAGAAGCACACTAGCAGTAGAGCCCGGCATTGCCCAGGGATGTAACAGTAAGAGATAGATCAAGTATCGACCATCATAAAGACTGAAAAATAAAATTGACAAAGATTATTGTTTTTAAGGTTGACGGACACGCATGTCTTAATTAGTTTTTTTTTTTTTTTTTTTTTTACGAATTGGTCAAACCCAAATTCAAACAAAAACATTGTTTTCAATCGTTATGAGTCTACCGATTGAATAGAATTTTATTATAAACAATTGTCTTGTAAATGGAATTTTTAAAGCATTCTGAATGTAAAAATAAAGAAAAAGGTGTGCAAGACAATAAGAAACACTACCTGCCCCCCAAAAGTGAAGTTTTGTTGAAATTAGTTGAAAAATGTAGGAAATCCGATCCCATATATAAACGAACACACACACACACACACACACACACACACACACACACACACACACACACACAACCTGGGTTTTATAATAAGTATAACTCGATATGAGTTGTTCCCCTTTCATTCTCGTGATGCCTCTTAATCGTGTTTTCAAATTGATTTCATGCAAAAACAATTGTGTTTTCCCAATTTTTGACGCTGTCAGAACTACCGCAAGGTAATTTTACGCAGTCCTGTGAAGTTTTGTTGAAATCAGTTGAAAAATGTAGGAAATCCGATCCAATATATAAACGTACAGACACACACACAACCTGGGTTTTATAATAAGTATGATAAGGGCATACCAAAAAGCGAAGAAATCACTTTTCAATTTTGTTAATAAGCACCAGGATGTCAAACTGCCTTGTATAAATTTTTGGTCAGATAAGATGCTGGTGGTGTTGTTGATGCGTAGGAAAAGTGCCTAGTTGGCTATGCCTATCTGGTGTTTGACGGCT